CACAACAAGTCCATCAATTTACATATTTTGACATCGTCGTCATTTCTTACCTGATACCGACGACATATTTATAATGATACGCTTTGTTTCTAGTACTTCCTTCTGTCTTCGTCGTTAAATTTAATAATTTTCGTTAGGTTAGGTCAGGTCAATCAGTGTTTCTTTTTGTGCGCACGAAATTTTTTTATGCATGCAGGATGCATAAAGTAGCACAAAAATGCACAAAAATGCATAAAAATTCATAATATTACATCAAATTCAACTAATGCTGGGAATTTCATATTTCCGAAAAATTTTATACTTTCCTACATTATCAAATTGGAATTTGTATATATTTCGGATAACATGGAATTATTATTTGACAAGAAAATTTCAAACAAATTACAAGTATGTATTTGTTTTGCTATACAATACAACCAATTCAGCCGTTCATAAACATCTGGTACAATATCTGGTAAAATAATTAATTTTTAAAAGATGTGGTACATCTGGTAAAATAATTAATTTTTAAAAGAGCTGGTAAACTATCTGGTAAAATAATTAATTTTTAAAAGAGCTGGTAAACTATCTGGTAAAATAATTAATTTTTAAAAGAGCTGAAACAATATCTGGTAAAATAATTAATTTTTAAAAGAGCTGAAACAATATCTGGTAAAATAATTAATTTTTAAAAGAGATGGTAAACTATCTGGTTAAATAATTCATTTTTAAAAGAGATGGTAAACTATCTGGTAAAATAATTAATTTTTAAAAGAGCTGAAACAATATCTGGTAAAATAATCAATTTTTAAAAGAGCTGGCCCAATATCTGGTAAAATAATTAATTTTTAAAAGAGCTGGCCCAATATGTGGTAAAATAATTAATTTTTAAAAGTGCTGGTATAATAGCTGGTAAAATAATTAATATTTAAAAGAGCTGGTACACTATCGGGTATTAATTTTTTTATTTTTTTTCCTAACTGCCTTATGTCATTAATTTTTAATTTTGTTTCTCCCAACAGCCTTATTTGATTAATTTTTAATTTTTATTTCTCCCAACAGCCTTATTTCCAGGCAGGGTTCGCTACCCCGGGTTTTTGTGGGTTGGGGTTTTTGGGGTTTTTGTGGGTTTTTGGGGTATCAAATCTCCGGAAAAACCCTAATGCTTAATGGGGTTTTTGCGGGTTTTTGTGGGTTTTTGTGGGTTTTTCCGGGGTTTTTGTAAGATTTTGGGACAGATTGAAACAAAATCCCTTAAACTACAACTTAAATCAATGCTAATTAAATTGACGGATTCATCATGAAATTTTGAGAATTTTCATGTGCGACTTGAATTTCCAAGTTTTATTGCATATTTCCAAGTTTGCATGCGAAATATGAATTTTCGATTTAACAGTCCAACTCAATGATAACGCTTAAAATTGCATGTCAAAATCGTATATTAAATTACTTTTATCTAATATATAATTTAAAGAATTTTGGTTCAACCTGCCCCAAAATCTACAAAAACCCACAAAAACCCACAAAAACCCAAAAACCCACAAAAACCCCAAAAACCCCGGAAAAACCCGCGGGGTTGGGTTTTTCTAGAAAAACCCCGGGGTTTTCCGAACCCTGTTTCCAGGCTGTTGCAAGCCTCGGTTCTCTTAACTCCAAAAGGGGATTACACAACGGACGTGATATTTTTTTTTGTAATTCCAATATTTTTTTTATGTTGATGACCTTGATCCAGTGAACATAATTAGTCATTACAACACCCCTCTAAGTGACCTAGTTTGACCGGAAATTGAGGTCAAAGGTCAAAAACTCGTTTGCTGTTTAACGCCAGAAACCTTATATGGAACAATACGGGCAGAAGGACCCCTCTCCGATCGGGGAATGTGATACGTCAAAATGTCGGGTTTTTCATGCTGATCAAGAATATATAAATTTTTTGACCGACAAATGTATATTAAGGTCACAAAAAAAGGTCAAAGGTCAAAATTTTTTATTGCATTTTTGGACGTTTCAGGGCATTCTAAGACTTTGTCTCACTTTTCCCCATGGCGGGAATATTTTTGGGGTGACGTGAGATTTCTAGTTTTTGTGTCGAATGTCGAATGTCTGGTTGGGTTGTACCCTGTCTGGTGTAAAATCTTTGGGGCACTATGAGATTTGGGACTAAGTGGATCATCGATTATCGTAATTCTGCCCAATATTGGGGTATTGTTCGTTTTTAAGCAAACGAAGCGAGCAGGTTAGGTTAGTTTTACTAGGTATGCGGAAAGCGTTGCTATTCCAGCTAGCAATCCTAGCTAGCAGTCCTAGCTAGCAATCCTAGCTAGCAGTCCTAGCTAGCAATCCTAGCTAGCAGTCCTAGCTAGCAATCCTAGCTAGACACTAGAAATCTCATGTCACCCCAAAAAAATTCCCGCCATGGGGAAAAGTGAGACAAAGTCTTAGAATGCCCTGAAACGTCCAAAAATGCAATAAAAAATTTTGACCTTTGACCTCAATTTCCGGTCATACTAGGTCACTTAGAGGGGTGTTGTAATGACTAATTATGTTCACTGGATCAAGGTCATCAACATAAAAAAATTGGAATTACAAAAAAAAAAAATATATCACGTCCGTTGTGTAATCCCCTTTTGGAGTTAAGAGAACCGAGGCTTGCAACAGCCTGCTTATTTCATTAATTTTTAATTTTTTTTCCTAACAGCCTTATTTCATTAATTTTTAATTTTTTTTCCTAACAGCCTTATTTCATTAATTTTTAATTTTTTTTCTCCCAACAGCCTTATTTAATAAATTTGTAATTTTTTTTTGTCGCGTGAGTTGTATCTCATCTCGCGCCAATTAGCAAAAAGGCACCCATTTTTGAGGGGCAAAAAAACAAAAACCTATCAGTACAGCTTTGCTTAGCCCGAACCAGGATTGATTAGTAAACTCATGTTTGTCAGAATGTTGTACTATTTTTCACTAGTTCTTGCATTAACTAGCGTAACTTGGTAGTATTGCTTGGCACCAAATACCACGAGCAGTGGAGGCTGTTCGTATAAAAATTTCGAAATTCAACCGTCCTAAATTCTAATCTAAGTTATTTTTTGACTCCTCACTAAATTTTAGCTGAATATATAAACTCTTAGAAATCGGTATGGGCACCCTTAGTGCCCCTCTGGTTACTTTTTGTTCATCTTTGACTTCATATAATTTCATGAGAAGCCATTAAGTATCACCGTTCCAAATTTCAGCTTTTTACGACAAGTTATGAAAATCGGTATGGGTCACCCCAACTGGTCTCGGCATGTGAAAATTTTACCAATTTCACTTCATATTCTTCCATTAGGGGCCATTAGCAGCCTCTATACCAAATTTCAGCTCGATTAAATAATTTTGAAAAATCGGTATGGGTCACCCCCTCGGCCACCTCAGGTTGAATAATTTTCCAATTTCACTTCATATTATTTCATTTGGAGCCATTAGCAACCTCTGTACCAAATTTTAGCTTTCTACGACCATTCTGAAATTTTGGTGCATCAAACCCCACCCACTCCGATGACCCCCACCGGTCAACCACTTGACCGATTTGGCCCATCTTCGAACTCGTTTCCTAACTTTGTCCAATACACATGTGGTAAAAATTTCAAGTCAATCGGTCAACTCGTTCGAGAGCTATCGAAAGACAGACGGACAGACAGACAGACGGACATGACAATTACATAAGCCCTGGTTCGGGCTAAAAAGGCATTGCCTTTTTGCTCTGCACACACTTATTATACAGAAGCCGCCATAGAGTTATATGTATAATATACGGTAGCAATCAAGGGAGAAATACAGCTAGAAATGCGTAATTAGCGAAGAAACATTTATTTCGTGCCAAAATGACGACCTATCGGTCTCATATATGCAAAAGCATGGAGAAAGTTGTGTTTCGGTATGTGCTAACTTGCTCACCACAAAAATAACCACGAACGACAAGGAAGACTGCACTTACTCCTCAGGTATCATTTTACTCCGACAATTTAACTTTGCATGAAACCAATCGCATGGAAACTCTCTTGGGGGACATTCGCAACAGCACCAAAAAAACAGGAAATGATAAACACCCCTAAAATGCACCCCTCGTAAAAACTTGTATGCATAAACTGCCATGCGGTGCGAACCAATAATCAATTTTCGCCTTAGAAAAAAAAATCCACATTATTTGCATCATCGGAAAAACCCAACAGGCAGGCAGATAAAAATTTTTGGAACTAGGAAGAAGCCCCCCATGTGAAAACCTAGCATCAATATATAGCGTGGGTTTGCTAGAGCGTCCGTCAACAAAGACCAAAATTTCTGGGATCCAATTTATTGGGTCTGGGGATAATGAATAGTTGTGTTTACCCTTTTTTAACACCATAAAATTACTGTACAAATTGGATCATAATAATACACACAAGTGAATGATTTGTTTACTGGAGATGTCCTTGCCAGGACACACGAACTACAAGCTGTGATTGAACTACCCAGTAACTCAAATAAATAAGTCCGATGATAAACAAAAGACCGCACGTGTGCAAAATGCACAATCTAACGGAGAGAAGATGTATAATCTATAATAAATCGATTACCAGCCCACACAATTAGGGCGAGACCTGCAACTTGGAATTTGCAACTGTAACTTTAATTTTGCAGGTGTAACTGGAATTTTGCATCAGCGACTGGAATTTTGCATCAGCTTCTGATCTTCATCACTTCAATTAGTCATGACTCCATCTCATGCAATGCTATCTCTGTGTGGCATGACATTCCACTCAATCACGTTTGTTGACATCTATTTGATTGAAAAGCGAAACTGCTACATATATCATTATTTGTATGCATGTTGGTTCAACCTAAGGCCTAAATATGTAAGACATTATCATTTAGCTTGACAGAAAAAAATGAGTCCATGGTTAAATAAATAACTACCGGCACTATATGTTTTCATAATTTCTTAAAACTTGCATGTTCGATCCGAACCAGATCAGTCCTAATTACACTGCGGACGAACAATCACTAACCAGCACGACCTACCCCTAACCTAACCAAAAACTCCCAAAATGACTATTTCATCTCTAACTTGCATTATCCTCCTGCTAGGATCATGCTGTTTTCTCAGCCATGCCCAACAGGTATGGGGGCACTTAGTGCTCGGCACGAGACGAGACGAGACGAGATTGCCTTGTCTCGTCTCGTCTCGAAAGTGACTCGAGACGAAGTAATCGAGACGAGACGAGATGACGATTTTGTCATCTCGTCTCGTCTCGAATCTCGTCTCGGTCGAGACGAGACGAGATGTCTCGACATTCATCCATGTTTTTCAAAATATCTTTTGTATTCTTCAGATAATTACAAAATACAAATACACAAACTGCAAATATTTAGAATATTATTAATTGGCCTTGTATTCCTTATATAGTAAACTACATACTAGTAGTTTACACAAAAAAATAAAGGATAAATCTTAATCGTAAGCTAGTAACGGGACGACAAAATTTTACGACGCTTCCATTGAGTCATTTCACGTCAATTTTTGTTAGTACGTAAACACGTAAACTTACTAACCTTACGACCTTTTGACAAAACGTACCAATATCTCTTGTATGTGATTTTTACCCAGATAAGTCAAATTTTTGGTTCGTAAGATGATCTTCGCAGGCTTATGAACATAGAATATAAAGAATTAGAAGAAGCACTCTGCTCTTTGTTAAGCAAGTAAGGGGGATGACTCTCCACGTCACATACGAGAGGTCGCCAGAGGCCCTCAGGCCCTCAATGTTAAACTAAATGGCAAACTCGCAGAGTTAACTCCTACTCCATCTGTGAGTGACGTGGAACATCTCTTTCTGTATCTTTTATATCGTGGTGGTTAATTACTCGTCGCTAGAGCCCTCACTAATACTATCTTTTATGCATTTTGTATTTACCAATGCTAAGATACTACCCATCGCTTATGAACGTAATTACGAGCTTACGAAGGCTAACATGAAATACCTGAATGACTCGTAACCGTCATAGCTTATGTTACTACATATACAAAGAATACTTGGGATATGGATACGAAGGAATCGTTACCCGCAGTATATACAATTTATAATTGGAGTTATATAGTTAGTGTCATATTTGAGTGTCTTTTACGTAAAAATCAGAATATTTGCAGATTGGTTAAAGTTTTGATCATAATTATTCGTATTATCTATTGTCTCTAAAAAAAATTTTTGAAGGATACTGCATTTCCCAAAGCTGCTCGCTCCTTGCAGAAGGCTAGAGGACGGAGAATTTGCTGCTAAATTTCTAAATTTTTGATGTATCGAGACGTCTCGTCTCGACCGAGATTTGTCGAGACGAGATGGCGTTGGTCTCGTCTCGATCTCGTCTCGTCCCGAAATCTTTCGAGACGAAAAAGTTGGTCTCGTCTCGTCTCGTATCTCGTCTCGTCTCGAAATTTTCGAGATGGTCTCGTCTCTCGCCGAGCACTAGGGGCACTGTATTATTCCTCAAGTTACTGACTGGATAATTCAAGTATTAAAATTTTCCGTTGTTCCAATGTAAAATTCCTAGTTTACCAGCCAATGTGACAAGCCAAGGAATGCAAATCTACCATTTTGCGACTCCAGCTTGCCCACAGAAGCTCGCGTGTCGGATTTGATCTTTCGCCTCACCTTGGCCGAGAAGATTGGTCTGCTCGTTCACGAGACGGAGGGTGCCACTCAAAACGTGGATCTGGACTCGTACAACTGGTGGAACGAGGGTCTCAAAGGAGTCGCCGATGCGCCAGGGGCTCATTTCCGACCCCCCACGGAATACTCGACCGTGTTCCCACAACCCATCAACCTTGCCTCCTCCTTCAGTAAAGAACTCTTCTTCCAAGTCGGCAACATAACGGGGAACGAAGCAAGGTTTTAAACAATAAATACTTAAAGCGAAAATTGCACACATTTCTGAACAATCAATATTGCAGAGCATTCTTCAACGTGGGGAATGGAGGGCTGACGTACTGGTCACCAAACAAACATCTACCGCGACCCCAGATGGGGGAGAGGTCACGAAACCCCGGGAGAAGATCCACGCCTCAGTACGGAATTCGCACGTTACTTCATTCGCGGATTGCAGGGTGACGAATCTGCAAATGGATTCCTCAAGACTTCCGCGTGCTGCAAACATTTCGCCGCACACTCGCTGGAGAACGATAGATTCACCTTTGACGCTGTTGTCAACGAGCAGGACATGGCGGACACGTACCTCCCCGTGTTCAAGAGTTGTGTACAAGAGGTAGGCTTTTCTTTTGAGGGTTGCTCAGAAAACTCAGGCTACACGTTCGGAAATTTATCTGTTCTTATCTTATTTGCATATTTGTAGTCGGACGTGAGCTGTATCATGTGTGCTTACTCGGCCATTAACGGAATCCCCGCCTGCGCAGATAAAGGCCTACTGACCGACAAGATCCGAGGGGAGTGGGGTTACGAGGGCTATATCGTGTCCGACTGCGGGGCGGTCGACTTTGTCCAAAGGACCCACAACTACACCCAGTTCCCCAACGAGACCTGCCACGCCGTTCTAGACGCCGGGGTCGACATCGAGTGCTACGCCTACAACGGTCCCTTCTTCACCCGCTACTTGGGAGACGCCGTGGCGGAAGGGGCAGTCACCCCGGCCATGCTGGATACCGCGCTCGCCAACGGGTTCAGGGTCCTCATGCGGCTCGGATACTTTGAAAAGAATGCGACCCGTCCCTTCACCGACCTTCTGCCACCCATCGTGGACAGCCAACCTCATCGAGACGCCGCCTTGGCCGCGGCCCGACAAAGTATCGTCCTCCTTAAGAACTCCCCCGTCTTGGGGAAGGCAGGCAAGGCCCCACTACCCGTTACTTTGGGGGCACAAAAACAAGGCACGATGGCCTTGATCGGACCACACCTGAACGCCTCGAGAGCCTTCTTGGCCAACTACCATGGAATTCCTTCCTCCATCTCGACCCCATTGAGTGCCATCCGAGCCTCCTTTCCCAACGCCCAGTACGAATTCGGCTGCGACTTGATATCCACAACGAACCCGCATTTGGATGAGGCCGCCGCCCTGGCCGCGATCTCCTCCCCCGTCGTTCTCTTTGTGGGGATCAACGCTGCGCAGTTTGAGGAGGAGGGGGTCGAGTATGAAGAGCATGACAGGTTAAACTTGTCCCTGACAGGGTTGCAGCCTGAACTCATCCGAACTGTCCTAGCCGCCGCGAGGGAGCCCGTGATCCTCTTCGTGGTCTCGGGTGGCGTGGTGGACCTGTCCGAGTGGAAGGATGATCCCCGAGTGGGAGCCATCATCTGGGCGGGATATCTGGGGCAGGCGGGCAGAGAGGCGATAGCAGACGTCCTTTTCGGCCGGTACAATCCGTCGGGACGCCTGGCACAAACGTTCTACTCGAACGAAGTGATCACCCAGTTTGAGAAGTATGATATGAACATGCGCCCCACGGAGGGAACGTCGACGGGGAGGACGTATCGTTTTTACGAGGGGACGCCCGTCTATCCATTCGGGTTCGGATTGTCCTACACAACCTTCGAGTATAGCATTCTTAACTTGCCCCCTATCCTTGAAATACCGACGATCGGAGGAGTGGATCAAGACTGCGCAGTGATGGTCACTCTGGCCGTGAGGAACGTGGGGGTGACTGCGGGGGATCACTCGGTCCTCTGGTTTCTCGCCCCACCCAACGCAGGACAGGGAGGAAGACCAATTAGGGATTTGCTCGATTTTGAAAAACTGGAGAATATTTCAGCGAATGAGGTGAGGGAGGCAAACCTTTGTCTGAATCGGGACCACTTCGTCCTGGCGAATGAGGCAGGGGAGTGGGAAGTTGTTCCAGGGGACTGGACCCTGCAGGTGGGACAATTGGAGAGAGTTATTCGTGTTGCCGTTTAAATATCAAAATTCATGGTTATGACTTGTGAATAAATTAAATCATGTTTGTCCGACTCTGACTCGCACGAAGCTATTCATAAAATTGCATACATATCCGTATCCTAAGGTGCCCTCAACATGTGCCCCTTATCATATTTGGCGTAAAGGGTTTACTCAAGCAAAATACAAGAAATGATATGCCCATGCTTATTTGGCCTAATAGTTTTTTATGAAGAAATTGTGATCGAAAATTTGATTAATGATGAAATTTTCTGCAGGATAAAACCAATCAATCTTTAAATCCATTTTATTTTAAGACCCGTCAGTAGTACAAGTGTCTAGATTTTTCGCCAAAGATTTCTCGCCCGCTTTATTTCTTATGGGGAAATCCTTGGCTAGGTTTTCTCGCCAAGGATTTCTCGCCCGCTTTATTTCTTATGGGAGAAGCCAAAGATTTCTCACCCACTTTATTTCTTATGGGAGAAGCCAAAGATTTCTCGCCCGCTTTATTTCTTATGGGAGAAGCCACGGATTTCTCACCCACTTTATTTCTTATGGGAGAAGCCAAAGATTTCTCGCCCGCTTTATTTCTTATGGGAGAAGCCACGGATTTCTCACCCACTTTATTTCTTATGGGAGAAGCCACGGATTTCTCGCCCACTCTATTTCTTATGGGAAAAAAGACGGGTCCTCATCACACACTTCTTATGAGGAAAAAGAGGGCTCCTCGCCACATACTTTTCCTTACGGGAAAAAATACGGGTTCTCGCCACCATACATTGCCTTATGAGGGAAAAAGACGGTTAGGGCTTCTCGCCACAAGGCCTTTATAGCATGGGTATGTATTGCAAGGATATGCTGACTGCTTATAGTAACCAAAGTCTCAGATGTATTTTCATGTGTCGAAAAATAATGGCGGGACTTCTCAAATTGCCCCAAATATCTCAGTTTACCCCCGTGCCATAGATTATCCTGGTGTCTCTGATTACCCCAAATTACTAAAATTACCCAAAATCTCAAATTACCCCAACAATGTATTTCTTATGGAAAAAAATCTTTCAGATGGGGGTACATGGGTTGAGAAGAAATGATGGCGGGACGTTTGAGACTAAATTATCAAAAATGTCTCAATTTACCCTATTTGTCTCATTTTATTCAAGTATCTCAATTTACCCCAATTGTCTCAAATTCCCCACTTATCTTAAAAACCATCAACGAATCATTTTACCTCTATATAGACAAGTAATACTCATTCAATTCTTAGTTACTCGCAGAGTCTTCAAGTTTAAAAATGCCTTTCTACTGTGTGCCCAAACATTTAGTTTGGTTGAGCCTTTTTATCTTGGCATTTGATATAACGTTACTCGTAATAATCTGCTCATATTCCATAATTGAAAGTGGAAAATCAAACCAAACCGGTTACTCATGGCAACCAAAATCACAGATGTGTTTTCATGTGTCAATAAATATTGGCGGGACGACTCAAATTACCCCAAAATTTCTCGAATTGCCCCAAATGTATCAATTTACCCCCTGTGTCATTGATTTTCATGTTGTCTCAATATACCCCAAATGACTAAAACTACCCCCAAAATCTCAAATTACCCCAATAATGTATTTCTTATGGGAAAAAATCCTTCGGTTGGGTGTACATGGGTTAGTAAGAAATGATGGCGGGACATTTGAGACTTGAGGTCTCAATTTATATTCTCCCAAATTATCCAAGTGTGTCAATTTACGCCCAAATGTCTCATGTTACCCCATTTGTCTCAATTTATTCAAGTATCCCAATTTATCCAAATACCTCAATTTACCCCAATTAAATATTTCAAAGCACCCCAAATATTCCAAATTACCCCGAGCCTTTTCTACGGCTCCGCCCAACGGCTCTTCCTTACAATACATTTCTTATGGGAGAACTTATTCCCATAGCGTTTAAGGATAGACACCTTTGTTATGAGACCAAGGTATGTGTATGGTGTAGTAAGTCATCATGTAAGGGTATGCCAGTATTTGTTATGTCCCCTCCTATGCTTTACGTTTTATTATGGATAGAAAAGGTTGAAAAGGTGGAGTTCGACCTTTTTGTTGGTGGTAGTGTTGATACTAATAAGCAAGTTACGAGAAAAAGATTGAAAAAAGGTAGAGTGAAACGTTTTCTGAAGCTAGTGGTGATACTAATGATGACACAATTTTTCACCAACGTTTAAAACAGTACTTATGAAGGTTTATCTACAAAAGTATAGCGTTATTTGTGAAAATATGATATTCACGCATGAAAAAACTTATTGGTTTAAAAACATGAAAAATTATATATGAAAATTGTTTGCAGTAATGAGATGAAATAACAGATCAGAAGTATTTATAATTAGCATTTATTGTCAAAGATTTGTTAAATAATTCTTAAAATTGTGTGTTTATTTATTATGCGCAGTAAATTTGACTGGGTTCTTGTCTAATGTAAACCTGTCCCATTTATTTATTATCATAAGTAAAGTTGGGATATGTAGGTCAGGCAGTGCCTAAGTACACAGCACACAAACTTTTAGAAAAATTATCTCCCTTTAACTTTATTGCGTTAACAACAAAACACTAAAACCACTTGATTTTTAAGCCGAATTAAAAGACAATGTTGTTGCTTTGCACAAGAATTAGAAGGTTTTTGATCTTTTATTTTGAGTAATTTGGAAGTGGACAGTTGTTCATTTAGCATTGAGTAGGTTTCAACGTTTTCTTACTGGTAATCAAGCGTATGGATTATCATTTGGGAGACCTTCAGATGATCTTACGATATCAGTAAGTAATTTACGAGTCACAACCATTTCTCCATTCTTTGCCGCCTGCATAATAGACGCTATTACATTTTTCACATGCTCCCCAAACGTTAACATTTTCTCCTCTTGGGTTTGGGGGAGTTCTAGAAACTGCATCAATTTTGTTAACACATTCATCGAATCTTCATTGCTTAGCATCAATTCTACTCCATGAATATGATACTCAGAAAGTGGTTCACCCCAAAAATCTACACGGTCAGGCTTATGCAATGTCCGACACACCTTACAGCATTCACCAGAAGTTCCACTTGCCTGACTTTCTGTATCATCTTCTCCCTCTTCTTCGTCCGAAGACGCGTCTGAACTTGAATCTCGGCTGTCCCCTTCTCTACTACAATTTGACAGCTTGTTCCTTCTTCCACCTCGAGATCGTCTTTCTTTTTTTGCTTGGGGTTCATCATCGGAGCTAGTTTCGTTGGACTCTGATGTGTCCGCTGAGTCATCCTGGTTCGTTTCAGCATCATCAGAATCAAACAACGTCACTTTGTGAAACCCAGTTTTATGAGTACTTAAAGCCTGTTCAGAATTGAAGTGTCTGGAGCAGCGACTACATTTGTAAACCATCTTGATATCACCTCTCTAGGTCAACTGTCTGACGATAACAGCAATCTCTTCTTTTATACTGGTCCGAAATTATTGAGCCATCTGAAAGATTTTATGATTTGAGGTAAATTCATATGTTTACACATGTAATTACATATGCACACATGTGTACACGCACAAATGTATGCATATGTGCACACACATATGTATACATATGTACACATATGTACACATACATATGTATACATATGTACACATATGTACACATACATATGTATACATATGTACACATATGTACACATACATATGTATACATATGTACACATTTTGGCAAATGGGGAGGTGCCTCAAAAGCTCTACCTCCATATGATCAATTGATTTGATTTTCCACCTCACTCAGTCCAACCCTACTCAATTTGGGGGTTAGGTTTAATTAAAATAAAAATTTGATTGCAAAGTATGATAATTAAATCTGAATGATTGGAACGTGGTGCAAATGAGAGACTTCTTCAGTCTCTCATACTTTAGGCTCAAATCTTGACTTGAGCCTAAAGTTGCACCTCGTTCCACTCATTCATATTTAATTATCATACTTTGCAATCAAATTTTTATTTTAATTAAACCTAACCCCCAAATTGAGTAGGGTTGGACTGAGTGAGGTGGAAAATCAAATCAATTGATCATATGGAGGTAGAGCTTTTGAGGCACCTCCCCATTTGCCAAAATGTGTACATATGTATACATATGTATGTGTACATATGTGTACATATGTATACATATGTATGTGTACATATGTGTACATATGTATACATATGTATGTGTACATATGTGTACATATGTATACATATGTATGTGTACATATGTGTACATATGTATACATATGTGTGTGCACATATGCATACATTTGTGCGTGTACACATGTGTGCATATGTAATTACATGTGTAAACATATGAATTTACCTCAAATCATAAAATCTTTCAGATGGCTCAATAATTTCGGACCAGTATAAAAGAAGAGATTGCTGTTATCGTCAGACAGTTGACCTAGAGAGGTGATATCAAGATGGTTTACAAATGTAGTCGCTGCTCCAGACACTTCAATTCTGAACAGGCTTTAAGTACTCATAAAACTGGGTTTCACAAAGTGACGTTGTTTGATTCTGATGATGCTGAAACGAACCAGGATGACTCAGCGGACACATCAGAGTCCAACGAAACTAGCTCCGATGATGAACCCCAAGCAAAAAAAGAAAGACGATCTCGAGGTGGAAGAAGGAACAAGCTGTCAAATTGTAGTAGAGAAGGGGACAGCCGAGATTCAAGTTCAGACGCGTCTTCGGACGAAGAAGAGGGAGAAGATGATACAGAAAGTCAGGCAAGTGGAACTTCTGGTGAATGCTGTAAGGTGTGTCGGACATTGCATAAGCCTGACCGTGTAGATTTTTGGGGTGAACCACTTTCTGAGTATCATATTCATGGAGTAGAATTGATGCTAAGCAATGAAGATTCGATGAATGTGTTAACAAAATTGATGCAGTTTCTAGAACTCCCCCAAACCCAAGAGGAGAAAATGTTAACGTTTGGGGAGCATGTGAAAAATGTAATAGCGTCTATTATGCAGGCGGCAAAGAATGGAGAAATGGTTGTGACTCGTAAATTACTTACTGATATCGTAAGATCATCTGAAGGTCTCCCAAATGATAATCCATACGCTTGATTACCAGTAAGAAAACGTTGAAACCTACTCAATGCTAAATGAACAACTGTCCACTTCCAAATTACTCAAAATAAAAGATCAAAAACCTTCTAATTCTTGTGCAAAGCAACAACATTGTCTTTTAATTCGGCTTAAAAATCAAGTGGTTTTAGTGTTTTGTTGTTAACGCAATAAAGTTAAAGGGAGATAATTTTTCTAAAAGTTTGTGTGCTGTGTACTTAGGCACTGCCTGACCTACATATCCCAACTTTACTTATGATAATAAATAAATGGGACAGGTTTACATTAGACAAGAACCCAGTCAAATTTACTGCGCATAATAAATAAACACACAATTTTAAGAATTATTTAACAAATCTTTGACAATAAATGCTAATTATAAATACTTCTGATCTGTTATTTCATCTCATTACTGCAAACAATTTTCATATATAATTTTTCATGTTTTTAAAACAATAAGTTTTTTCATGCGTGAATATCATATTTTCACAAATAACGCTATACTTTTGTAGATAAACCTTCATAAGTACTGTTTTAAACGTTGGTGAAAAATTGTGTCATCATTAGTATCACCACTAGCTTCAGAAAACGTTTCACTCTACCTTTTTTCAATCTTTTTCTCGTAACTTGCTTATTAGTATCAACACTACCACCAACAAAAAGGTCGAACTCCACCTTTTCAACCTTTTCTATCCATAATAAAACGTAAAGCATAGGAGGGGACATAACAAATACTGGCATACCCTTACATGATGACTTACTACACCATACACATACCTTGGTCTCATAACAAAGGTGTCTATCCTTAAACGCTATGGGAATAAGTTCTCCCATAAGAAATGTATTGTAAGGAAGAGCCGTTGGGCGGAGCCGTAGAAAAGGCTCGGGGTAATTTGGAATATTTGGGGTGCTTTGAAATATTTAATTGGGGTAAATTGAGGTATTTGGATAAATTGGGATACTTGAATAAATTGAGACAAATGGGGTAACATGAGACATTTGGGCGTAAATTGACACACTTGGATAATTTGGGAGAATATAAATTGAGACCTCAAGTCTCAAATGTCCCGCCATCATTTCTTACTAACCCATGTACACCCAACCGAAGGATTTTTTCCCATAAGAAATACATTATTGGGGTAATTTGAGATTTTGGGGGTAGTTTTAGTCATTTGGGGTATATTGAGACAACATGAAAATCAATGACACAGGGGGTAAATTGATACATTTGGGGCAATTCGAGAAATTTTGGGGTAATTTGAGTCGTCCCGCCAATATTTATTGACACATGAAAACACATCTGTGATTTTGGTTGCCATGAGTAACCGGTTTGGTTTGATTTTCCACTTTCAATTATGGAATATGAGCAGATTATTACGAGTAACGTTATATCAAATGCCAAGATAAAAAGGCTCAACCAAACTAAATGTTTGGGCACACAGTAGAAAGGCATTTTTAAACTTGAAGACTCTGCGAGTAACTAAGAATTGAATGAGTATTACTTGTCTATATAGAGGTAAAATGATTCGTTGATGGTTTTTAAGATAAGTGGGGAATTTGAGACAATTGGGGTAAATTGAGATACTTGAATAAAATGAGACAAATAGGGTAAATTGAGACATTTTTGATAATTTAGTCTCAAACGTCCCGCCATCATTTCTTCTCAACCCATGTACCCCCATCTGAAAGATTTTTTTCCATAAGAAATACATTGTTGGGGTAATTTGAGATTTTGGGTAATTTTAGTAATTTGGGGTAATCAGAGACACCAGGATAATCTATGGCACGGGGGTAAACTGAGATATTTGGGGCAATTTGAGAAGTCCCGCCATTATTTTTCGACACATGAAAATACATCTGAGACTTTGGTTACTATAAGCAGTCAGCATATCCTTGCAATACATACCCATGCTATAAAGGCCTTGTGGCGAGAAGCCCTAACCGTCTTTTTCCCTCATAAGGCAATGTATGGTGGCGAGAACCCGTATTTTTTCCCGTAAGGAAAAGTATGTGGCGAGGAGCCCTCTTTTTCCTCATAAGAAGTGTGTGATGAGGACCCGTCTTTTTTCCCATAAGAAATAGAGTGGGCGAGAAATCCGTGGCTTCTCCCATAAGAAATAAAGTGGGTGAGAAATCCGTGGCTTCTCCCATAAGAAATAAAGCGGGCGAGAAATCTTTGGCTTCTCCCATAAGAAATAAAGTGGGCGAGAAATCCTTGGCGAGAAAACCTAGCCAAGGATTTCCCCATAAGAAATAAAGCGGGCGAGAAATCTTTGACGAAAAAACCTAGCCAAGGATTTCCCCATAAGAAATAAAGCGGGCGAGAAATCTTTGGCGAAAAAACCTAGACACTTCTACTACTCCGTCATTGCATACATATACACAAAATTATCCATTTTTTTCGTCATCGCCTTATTCAAAAAACTATGCTTACCACCACAGATTCTTCAATAAGTTTCCGAGAAATCACATTTCGCATTTCAGAAACCAACCGTACTTACTTCGTTTACTCTTAAATATTTAAGTGAGCAATAGTATTTATGTGACTTTTTTTTAGGTTACATATTTTTGGAACAACGACAACAACAATTGACTAATTAATTTTTAACCGTAATCAGTATTATCTTTCTCCTGTAGTGGATACTTCCTTAAACGTTTGAATAATTAATTCTAGAGAAATAAATAATGAATTGCTTATTATGAACCACATTTAAATTTTTTATCCTGGCAAAAAATCAGTCCAAAAATTAATAATTAGCAACGACAACAATTTAACAATAAATAAAGTGTCATTGCATTAAAGACAAGAATATAGAACACATTATTTTCACAGGGTAATTAATTATTATAATTATTACTGGGATGAATAATTAAGTTACATACATAATCACTTAATTAGTCAAGTAATGAAATTTTCCTGTCTTTTTTTCTCAAGTATTCAATTCAGTTTTAAACTTAATTCATTTCTAGTAAATAAATAAATAATGATACAAAACTAGTTTCATCTTCAAAGGTCACAGAAATATGTCAAAAAATTAAGTCTTAAAAAAATATCGAGTCAATAATGAATAACAAAAAAAAAGAAATTGCTAATTCATAAATACAAAAAACTAAATACTAATCCACTAATTTTGGAATTAATTGAATGTAAACGTTTAATTAGGATTATTTGAGCTAAAATGGAACTAAACAATGAATATTTTCGCTTCTTCTTCGGTATTAATTAATTTTAATTGCGATTATTAAGCCACTAATTTACTTGCTGCGTGTGAGTTAGTAAAAATCTTCTGTTCTGCATGTGTCATTCTTCGTTAGTAAGTACTAAGTATTGCGTTCAATTAGTGAACTTTTTTTCACGCATTGTTTTCCCCTGCCCCCATTTTCCTGTCGAGATCTTTGAGGATGCTTGGCGTCGGACTGGCGCTGTTTCCTCTGTGTCCTTCTTCACAACTGCTGTTGCTGCGTCCACTGCTGCGACTGGCGGAAATGTCCCGAGTCGACTCTTCGTACCGGGCTTGATGGCGTTGATAGATTGGGGCGAGGATGAAAAAGTTGGAGATGAAGATCCCACCCCCAGCGATCCAAAATGACCAGGCGTACTTTCCCGTGTAGTCGTAGAGGAGGCCTGCACAGGGAGAAATGAGGGGTTAGCACCAGTCACAAATTCTAGTCAAATTTATGAAGAAATGAATGTAAAATACCAGCAATGGGTGGTCCGATCAGGTTTCCGATCCCTTGCACAAGTAGGAGAAGACCGTACGCGGGGGTAAACTTTTCCAAACTGACGACCTAAACGTTAAGCAGGTAATTATTAGTTATCATTCACTTTCACTAATTAATTACGTGTGGCTATAATTTTTCTCTCGTTACTTGAAGTAGGATGACGGGTGTGAGTGAGTAATTTGCCGCAATCATCAAGCCAAACACGCCGCAGAGCAAGACGAGGAAGTAGTAGGTGAGCCCCATGCTGAACAACTTCCCAAAGAGGCAGGGCATCAGGCCGGTCACGATGCCGCAAATGGAAATACACAGGCCATAAATCGTCACGGAATTTGCCCACTTCTTGTCCCCCAAATACCCCAAAATTATCTGCAAAACGAAATCACAAATAAAAGTTGAATAATAATAATTAATACTTAATTTCCTAATTTAACGGATTAAATTTCTTTACATTTCCGAAAACGGTTAAAAGTCCGATCGCACTTCCCAACATGGCTCCTTCTCCTTCCGAGTAGCCCAAGCCGGTGGCAGTGTCGGCAAGAAAGGTCAATGGGATGTCATACCTGGGAGGGAGACAGGTAGAAATGTGCGTAAGTACTTATCACTATTCTACAAGACGCACTCTCCACCCATCACAATTTACTTACCACATGTACAAAAGAAAATTGGACATGATGAACAAAACGAATCTGGTATTTTTCAAGTGATCCAGGGCAAAGATTTCTTGCATCCAGACGTAAATATCCTGCAGGGCGGCTTTCCACTCCTAATTAATTACAATCACTCAACAATTCTCCTCAATTAAACTAATTAGAACAATAATTAACTAACCGGCGTATTATCATCCGCCGTGGCTACCGAAATGATATCCGGACATGACGTCGCAGGTCGGAGGGGGCGCATTCGGCTTCTCTTCAAATTCAGCACTGCGATACGTTAAAGAATTGCGATGATTCCCCCAATTCCTAGTTAGTCATTAGTAAAATAATTAATCAATCAACTAGCTAATTATTCACTAAACCTGGACCCACATACATACCTCGTATGCTGCACAAGATAATTTCTCATCGCCTGCTTCTCCAATGTGCTCATGTTTCCTGCTCCTCCGTTACAACTACTGTTTACGCCATTCTTCTCATTGTTTGGTGATGGCGACGGCGACGACGTCACTTCTCCTTTTCCATTAGTCTTATTACTACTCTGATTATTGCTGAATGGTTTTGTATTCATTTGTTGGAGATGAGAATTGAGATTGTTGTGGTGGTGAAGGTCACACAAGTTATTGACTGACTTCTTGACCTCCCCGTTGTTATTGGAATTATTGTTATTGTTCGCGGCGACGAGGAGGGGCGAGTCGCTTTCATTTTCCTCCATCATCATCATCATCTTGTCGTCTTTTATGATAGCTTGGCCCCCTTCGTCGTCTCCTTCCGCGACGCTGTCTTGCCCACCACTCTCACTTTTGTCTTCATTACTGAGATCATTGTTCTCTGCACGAGGTGGGACAGGGGCCGGAACGAGGATAGGACCACCTCCAGAGGTGAAACCTCCGGCATAATTATTCGAATAGTAGCGAATCCCTTTTCCTCCTCCTCCTCCATTTTTGACGTAGTGGGACGTGCTGTTGTTGTTCTTGAGACAAAGCTGCTCCGCTTCACGGACAAATGTGGGATACAAACGGCAGAATTGCAAAGTCTTTCAGATTTCTAGAGTCCAATCAAGGCAGTTCCTCCTCCTCCTTCAGGGATGGAGTACATTCCACCCCCTGCTCCATTCAGGCTAGGTCAGCAAAGATTAGGATGATTAAGATATCTTCAAATTATGTTAGTAATCAATAAAGGTTATCAACCTACTTTAGTTGAGTCTGAGTATTAAGGTCGTGCTCATTCTGGAGAACCTTTTCCCTCTTTCGACTACTCTTCTTGCTCCATTCCAAGTCTTTCATGAGGATAGCACAGAAGCAAAGGCTAAATAAAAACACCCGGCGTCCACCAACAAGGTCACTCTCCAGCTGGTCGCTTCTGCAAATCACGAAAATCATCTATTAATTAATTAATTAGTAATTAATATTCTCTACTTCCGGACTCACCAATGAGATAGGAATTCAGGGGGCCAAACATAAAAGTTCCAATCCCACCGCCACACATGGACAGGCCCGGCGCGAGTGAGCGTCTCTTATCAAAATAATAGGCCACTATCACAACCGCCGCCACGTAGCACAGCGACAAACCAAATCCCGTGATCACTCCGAACGCCAAAATGAGCATGTGAATTGAAACTGCAATTGCAAAGCAAGAGTTAGTTAATTAATTAATTACTAATAATAATTGACTTTTAAATGTGTATAAAATTCGACAAATTGGGTATTAAAATGTCAATTAACTTGTAATCAATCATCATGTAAATAAATCAGAACTTACTGGCATAATACGACAAGATAAATCCCAGCGTAGCCAGAATTCCACCCACAATGGTGCAATTCCTACAACCATAGCGATCCGTGAGGGTGGACCCGATGGGGCCTGACAGCAAGGGCATCGACGCCAAAAGACTGCCAGCCCAGGTCGTCGTCGTGCTTTTCGACGTCCCAAACTCCTTCTGGATTATGGGGAGGAACACGCCGTAGGAAAATGTGACCCCGTCAGCCATCAGATTTATGAAAAAGACTACAGCAACAACCACCCAACTAGACAAGCAGAAAGTTAAGTTGGGCCAATAATAATTATGACGACCAACTTCTAATCTTATAAAGATTTAAAAAATAATCGCTGTAACCAGAATATTCGGACAAAAACAATAAAGTTAACAAAATCATGGTTGGCTCCAAACTGGAGTCTCATTTTTCTCCTCTTGCTTTCTCTCTCTCTCTCTCTCCATATAACAATTGCTTGTTTTGTGCCATATTGCAATCTCATCAAAATTTTATAAATTTGCCAAAAAGTGCCTAATTGATCCAGGTAAGTTTTATTGCTGTATTTTATGCATTTATCAAAATATTAACCACAAATTTGTAGAGCAGGTGGTTTCAAATTTTAAAAAAAAATATACACTCCAGATTTTGACACCTTTTTTGAGAGAGGCGTTGTCAATTTTAAGAATCTCTCATAAAAACTGCAACTCTTTAAAAATTAGTCAAAAAACTCATCACCATTTAATTAATGACCTCACTGACTATAAATTTGTCGTTCATAATTTTAAAATAAATTCCCAGAGCGGAGAAATGATTAAAAATGTGCCGATTTTCCTGATTTTGGTAATAATTTAATAAAAATGTATCAAATTACAGCAAAGCTGACCAGGCAATTTGTCCCCATCCTTTCCTCCAGAGACATTTTGGAAATCGGTTAAAAGGTAGGTAAACCTATTTTTATAAAAAACTTTCTAGTTTTGAGAATGAAAACCAAAGTCACTTCACACCCGCACAATTTTTATTTGGATAACATTCTCAGCGTTTGTAGAGCTGATTTATCCGGGTCCACGGTCCAAGTCCGGTGTTTTTACTCCACCCTCTCGCGGAGTGGGAGGTGCTCAAATTTGAAAAAACAGGGCTTTCTGCGAGTTTTAGCTTAAAGGCGGGTCAATATTTTTGAAAACGGTTTTCGCCAAACTTTTCCTAATTTTTATCTCTACAACCCTTTTCGAGCGCTTTTTGAAATGCTCCCAGCGGATGTCACGATTAAAGTTATGTCATAAAATTGAGACAAATATATATAACACTAGCGAATAAGCCCTTCTCCTGTCGGGTGAGCGTTTATTCCATCTTTTTCACATTTGTCCACTGGTTGTCATTTGCTGAAACGGTTATCATATTTGGTTAGAATTCAAAATGTAATTTTAAGATGTAAAAAGAGAATGGATTGAATTTGGTCGTAGTTGCAAATTGTTGCAATTTCACTTTCGTTGCCGACAGACATTTCCAGCTTATAATATAGATGTTTAACACCAAATTTTAAACTTCATAATTAAGGCCTCGTTAGTCAGTTAGCGTACAGACATCCTACCTTATGTAGCCAAATTTGACTTGCATCAATTGGTATATTCAGTGGCGTGGGTAAATAGTGCAAAAAACTAATTTAATTCCTTTATGCCGCGTGAAAGTCAAGTCAATAAATCCGAACATGACGGAAATCGATATATGAGTTGAGTAATTAAAGCTGCGTAGTTGAAAATATTTTTCTACTAGCATATAAGCCCGTCTCCCGCCGGGCGAGAATTTATTTGATTACCAAGGAAATAAAATGGGATTGTGCACAATTCCACCACATTACTTTTTGAAAATGTTCACCGTCTTTCGTTTTTAACAATATGAAGATATTAATGCACCTAAAAATCGGTAATTTTTAGGCTTACATAGTTAGGAGATAAAAATTTTGATTTTTTTCTTCAACAAGAAGATAAATATAAAATAGATGAAAAATAATCAATAAAATTTAAATATTTCCTCATTGAAGAAAAAATCAAAATTTTTATCTCCTAACTATGTAAGCCTAAAAATTACCGATTTTTAGGTGCATTAATATCTTCATATTGTTAAAAACGAAAGGCGGTGAACATTTTTCAAAATCGCCATTTGAATACATGGAGGAAGGGAAAGTTGAGACACAACAATTCAAACAAAAAACACGTGATACAATGCCACGTTAACGATTCAAGATAACCATCCAAAACGAACCATCGCCATACCCCTATTCCCAGATAACCACTACCAGACATCCAACCGCAGACGAACTGTGTCAGCTTTGCGCACAGCACAATCGTCGGCGTGACGACGCAATACAACTCGTCGACCCTGTGCTGACATGACACTATAATTTTATTTAGTGCAAACATGTGCACACTAAACAAACAGTTTATGATACGACACCACAATCTTGTTTAGTGCAAACATGTGCACACTAAACACACAGTTCAAGACTCGACACTTCAATCTTGTTTAGTGCAAACATGTGCACACTAAACAAACATTTTATGAGACGACACGTAAATCTTGTTTAGTGCAAACATGTGCACACTAAACAAACAGTTCAAGACTCGACACGTCAATCTTGTGTAGTGCAAACATGTGCACACTGCACGGAACTGTTGGTGTAGCGGTATGCATTGCACTGACTGTTATCTGAGAGTGGTTATCATGGCTGATTATCAGATAGTGATGGTGGTTGTCTGATGTTGATTATAAGGGAGTGGATATTTGGGAGCGGTTTTAAGTGAACAATAATTTTGTTTCAACTTAAAATTTTTGAATTTTCGCCCAATTCAAAACTTTACTTTCCCCACTTTGACTTCCGTTTAGGACAAATTCCTTCGACAGACATTTCTAGCTTATAATATAGATTCTACATACGAAATTATTGCAATTTATGCATAATATATTTTTCCTATTCTATACCAAACGTCTTGCCATTTATGCATAATATATTTTTCTACTCTATACCCCCGTCACCACTTTGCTTCAGTTTTTTGGCAGCCAGCCACCACCATGCTTTATGTACTCCTCCGCTCCAAATCAGTTCACCATATGCTTGCTCTCTTGCATAAAATTTGTGTTTACATTTCTCACTACAATTAAATTTGTAAAAATAATTACCCTAGTGGTTTTTGTAATTACTATCAACATGACAAATGCATAAAATGCTATTGGAATTGCGTTCTTGCTGAATTAATTAATTGGAAATACTGAGACACATAAAGACGTCTGAATGCAAGAGGTCAAACCTTCCCGTTTGGTCACACCCGGCGTGTCTCCGCCGTCGCAAGACGTGCCACAGCCGCCGGAACGTGGCTTATCGTCGTCATCACCGTCGCCACAACGTGCATGGTTGGAAAAGTTTCTTAAAGAATTAATGTTGTTTGGTATATTGTTGTCTTCAGAACCAGAGGTAATCATTTGGGCCATTTATGAAAGAATTGAGTTGTATTACAAACAAAGACATATCAACATATTAATTATTCTTCTCGAATTATTTTTAGGTGCAATATGTAGCTCTGAGAAACATCAATTTGATTGTGCAAAAGCGACCCGCTTGCTGCCAGCAGTTTAACCGAAATGACTCGAGATTAGTGGGACATTTAGTCGCAGATACTTTAAATATAATTAATTTTATACATATCTGGAGATTGTAAAAAGAAAAAGATTTTCACTCATTTCGTACGTTTATTTCAGAAATAGTAAAATATATATGGACATGACATTCACAAACCGAGCAATACAAGGAATGTCTGGATTTGCAGTTAAATTCAATAAAAATACTTTTGGGCTACTTCCAAATCAATCCTGTGGGGCGCCTTTGCCCGTTAATACTACTGGTCCTGTATGCATCATTCATAACTTCATTCAGACTTTCCATAATCCTTTCTGGCTGAACTTTTACCCTCGGTGGACGAAGTTTCTGTTGCAGTTGGCGAATCCTTTTTTTGTTGTCCGTGGTTGAACTTGGACTGGTTTCAGGTGACGAAATGTTGGATTGAGGTCGAGGACTAGATACGGATGACGATGGGGAGCAAGGCGACTCGAAGCTTCCACTAATTTCCGGCTGCGACACGTCCAACGACGGCGGTGGCACGGCAATTGATGTTACTTCTTTTGGTAAAATAGGGATGAATTTAATACTGGGACTAGGTCGGATAATTTCACTGGGTGTAGAAACTGTTAATAATTGCTCCTGCGACACAAAAAATCTTGATGGAAGGGCGGATGGTTTTAGTCTTCTTAGAATTGTTAAACTGATCATCCTTAAAATGTAGGTCGCAAATCATGGAGACGGGGGGAACATTTTGACAATCGAGATCCAAATACTCACACCACTTCTTGAATCGAAGCGATAGAAAATATTGCAACTTAATATTCTTTATTAGAATGCCAAAATTATTTTCCATTTAATTTATTAACACGCCTGACCTGTCTGGCTGGGATGGAAATTGATAAAACTGAGCTTCCGGATTTTTATGTTCTGTTTTAGCACACCTTGGATATTTACAACAGGTTATTTTCAGTGTCCTTGGTGGTGGTGACCCCCACGGCTGGGTCACTTCATTTGAAGGCAGGGACACGTGGAGGCTGGAAAATATTAACCCAATGTATTTAATGTCTTAATTAAAAAAAAAATTGCTCAAGTAATGTTTACAGTACGTGTGCATGTGTATTATATAATTTAATGTGCAAATAGATATGTGTACTTACCATGTACTGCCGAGGGGTACACTGTTTAATTGCAAGTAACTTTTTTAAATAATTAATTGAAGAAATTTAAGCTGGCTAAAAATCGATCGGACTGGAACTGTATTTTTCTTTGCCACGCAAAGGAAACCATGTGGTGGTGATTGAATTGCATCAGCTTTTTCTCATGCTGAAACTGCACACAGTTATTTGGCCGATCTGTTAAAGCCGCCCATTTGCAGGAAGAACAAAATAATATTAAGCTCCGCTGGTTGGCTGCTGAGCTCTTCCATAAGCTTCACTCCAATACATTGCATGAGTCGTTCCTCTTCCCCTAGTTTATTTCATATTCCATGCAATCACCCCAAAGCCGTCCGTGGCGCTCAACTGCGCCTTGTTGTTTATATACCAACCTCACATCCATCGGGAATTAACGTCAAACATCACTGAATACTTTGAATTCATATTCACTCATCACTGGACGACGAAATTTCCATTCACAGGACTGGGTGATTGATTACAAAGTCAAAAAATTTTTAACATTT